AGGCACACGAGGTGTGCATATACTCTACGAAGACCTCTGCCTCCTGGTCTACCCCCACCATACTCAGAGAGCTGGGTCTGCACCCAGGGCACTCATATCACACAGCCTCTGTTTACAGCCTTTGGTCTAAGACATTCTGAAAGAATGGAAGAGATGACACAAGAATCCTGGGCACTGGAAACCTATAAATCCTCTCTTTTTCTTTCTCCCCGCCTTTTCTCTCTCCCTCCTTCTCTTTCTCTCTCTCTCCCTCTCTCTCTCTATCTCCTAAAGAATGTTCAGATCTGATCTAAGTGCTTAAGCCCAGGCTTGTGAGTAAACAGCAAAAGGAACTGCTAGGGTGTGTGCCCAACAGTCTAAAAAGAAAGCCAATCTCCAGGGGACAGGAAGAAGACAGAAGGGGACAATCTGCCTTCAGGGAGATGACCAAAACTATCTCTGGTCTCAGCAGTCATGCAGCCACCTGACATTTGCTGTGAAACAACTGTAGGATTTCCTGGCAACACAAGGTCTAGACTGCCCTTCTGAAGATGCTCAGCCCATCGCCTGAAAACCAGAGCAAACTCTCCAAGACAAAGACACATTGGAGAAAAATCAGAGAACAAAGCCACATAATAGAAAGGCCAGGCAAAGTAGAACTCAACATAGGAAGAATTCACAAAACCCTGAGAGAATTCAGCAGCCAAAAGCTGAAGAACCACCTTTCATCTTTATCAATTCTAGTCAGACTGGACAGTGGCCTGGACAGACACAGGTCCTATGTCTGTGAGCATATCTATAGTTTATTTAAATCAGTAAAGCTTTCAAGTATGTTAACTAATATGTAGTAAGTCCTCACTTAACACCCTCAATAGGTTCTGTGAAGTGAAATAATATATAATGAAGCCAATTTTACCGTAAGTTGATTGATATAAACAAGTTCCTATGGCATCTCATTAATGTTATAATAAAACAACATTGAATGAGACATTATTCAAGGACCTGCTGTATTTTCTTTAATGCATGCTAAATATCCTTTCCCAATCTGATAACAATACTGACAGGTATAATGGTATACCAAATAATATATAATAATAGTATATATTATAACAGTAGGTATGGAGTGGGGCAGGTCTTATTCTAATCAGAGCTAAGGGAGCTGAGTGAAAGCTCGAGTCGGAGAGAAGAAGGCATAAGGATAAACATTCAAGGACATGAAGGTAGAGTTCAGGGCTGATAAAAGTGAATCTTCTTTTGCTTCTATGGTGGATGCATAAGGTAACATAAAATGGCAAAAAATAAGATAAAATAAAAGTGAATGGTGGCAGAGAGATAGCTGCCAAAGGTATATGTGAATACTATTGGCAACATCCTCCTGCAAAAACAAAACAAAGCAAAACAAAACTTTGCACTTAAGCATGCGCAAAATCAATGAGCTAAAACCTCTCTAAAAAGATGTAAAGATGTAAATGAAAAATACAAAGTAAATGAGATTATAGTATATAAAAGGCAATGGGACAGGCAATTGTAGAGTATAAGAGGGTGAAAACAGAATGTGCGGACACCTTATTGGGGATTGAAGGTGTCCAGGCAAAGAAGGATAAATTGGGTTGTACAAAAGAGCAACGTAGTGCTAGAAACAGCAAGACATACACAGAAATAAATGGGAGAGTACTAGGACTGTAGAGGGGTTTATCTAATGAAAACAAATAAGAGCATAAGAAGTGAAAGTAAAATTTTAAGGAGAAAACCAGAAAGGGAGAAGATTGAAAAGAAATTTAGGTTTCAAAAAGGTGAATTCAGGAAATTACTTACCTGGTAAGGTTGGTAGAGCACTAGGAGTTGGGGTAGGAGTGCTTTTCATCACAGCAGTGGAGGTAGCACTCTGTGTGCTAGGTTTTGTTCCAGCTGTTGAAGTTGACAAAGTTGGGGTGGTGACAATGTCAGAGGTCACAGAAGTGGAGGAGGCAGAGGTTGTTGGAGGGTTGGAGTGGCCAGGAGTAGACATATGTGAGGTGGTGTCAGAACCAATTGTTGAAAATGTGCTGGTTTCTGAGGGACTAACCGCAGAAGAGGTGGTAGCAAAAGTAGATGTTGTAGGTACATTGTCTGTAGAAGATGTTGAAGAGGCAGTGGCCTCTGTAGAGGTTGTCAGGGGAGTGGTGCCACCAGAAGGCGTTGTTGAGGATGTAGTAGCCTCTGCAGTAGATGTTACAGGGCTGCTGGTTGCAGTAGGCTCTGTAGAAGAGGTGCTATCTCCCGTTGAGGTTGTACCAGAGGAGGTGCTGCCAGTCTGAGCTGTTGAAGATGAACCTGATTCTGTAGAAGTAGTCATCTGGGTGGTGGTGTCAGTGGGAGTTGTAGCAGATGCAGTGGTAGCCTGTGTAGAAGTTGTCATGGTAGTTGCACTGTCAGTAGTAGTTGCTGAAGATGCACCAGAGTCTGTCGACATTGTCATAGTGGTGGCACTGTGTGTAGAAGATGAAGAGACAGTGGCCTCAGTAGAGGTTGTCAGGGGAGTGGTGCCACCAGAAGGCGTTGTTGAGGATGTAGTAGCCTCTGCAGTAGACGTTACAGGGCTGCTGGTTGCAGTAGGCATTGTAGAAGAGGTGCTATCTCCCGTTGAGGTTGTACCAGAGGAGGTGCTGCCAGTCTGAGCTGTTGAAGATGAACCTGATTCTGTAGAAGTAGTCATCTGGGTGGTGGTGTCAGTGGGAGTTGTAGCAGATGCAGTGGTAGCCTGTGTAGAAGTTGTCATGGTAGTTGCACTGTCAGTAGTAGTTGCTGAAGATGCACCAGAGTCTGTCGACATTGTCATAGTGGTGGCACTGTGTGTAGAAGATGAAGAGACAGTGGCCTCAGTAGAGGTTGTCAGGGGAGTGGTGCCACCAGAAGGCGTTGTTGAGGATGTAGTAGCCTCTGCAGTAGACGTTACAGGGCTGCTGGTTGCAGTAGGCATTGTAGAAGAGGTGCTATCTCCCGTTGAGGTTGTACCAGAGGAGGTGCTGCCAGTCTGAGCTGTTGAAGATGAACCTGATTCTGTAGAAGTAGTCATCTGGGTGGTGGTGTCAGTGGGAGTTGTAGCAGATGCAGTGGTAGCCTGTGTAGAAGTTGTCATGGTAGTTGCACTGTCAGTAGTAGTTGCTGAAGATGCACCAGAGTCTGTCGACATTGTCATAGTGGTGGCACTGTGTGTAGAAGATGAAGAGACAGTGGCCTCAGTAGAGGTTGTCAGGGGAGTGGTGCCACCAGAAGGCGTTGTTGAGGATGTAGTAGCCTCTGCAGTAGACGTTACAGGGCTGCTGGTTGCAGTAGGCATTGTAGAAGAGGTGCTATCTCCCGTTGAGGTTGTACCAGAGGAGGTGCTGCCAGTCTGAGCTGTTGAAGATGAACCTGATTCTGTAGAAGTAGTCATCTGGGTGGTGGTGTCAGTGGGAGTTGTAGCAGATGCAGTGGTAGCCTGTGTAGAAGTTGTCATGGTAGTTGCACTGTCAGTAGTAGTTGCTGAAGATGCACCAGAGTCTGTCGACATTGTCATAGTGGTGGCACTGTGTGTAGAAGATGAAGAGACAGTGGCCTCAGTAGAGGTTGTCAGGGGAGTGGTGCCACCAGAAGGCGTTGTTGAGGATGTAGTAGCCTCTGCAGTAGACGTTACAGGGCTGCTGGTTGCAGTAGGCATTGTAGAAGAGGTGCTATCTCCCGTTGAGGTTGTACCAGAGGAGGTGCTGCCAGTCTGAGCTGTTGAAGATGAACCTGATTCTGTAGAAGTAGTCATCTGGGTGGTGGTGTCAGTGGGAGTTGTAGCAGATGCAGTGGTAGCCTGTGTAGAAGTTGTCATGGTAGTTGCACTGTCAGTAGTAGTTGCTGAAGATGCACCAGAGTCTGTCGACATTGTCATAGTGGTGGCACTGTGTGTAGAAGATGAAGAGACAGTGGCCTCAGTAGAGGTTGTCAGGGGAGTGGTGCCACCAGAAGGCGTTGTTGAGGATGTAGTAGCCTCTGCAGTAGACGTTACAGGGCTGCTGGTTGCAGTAGGCATTGTAGAAGAGGTGCTATCTCCCGTTGAGGTTGTACCAGAGGAGGTGCTGCCAGTCTGAGCTGTTGAAGATGAACCTGATTCTGTAGAAGTAGTCATCTGGGTGGTGGTGTCAGTGGGAGTTGTAGCAGATGCAGTGGTAGCCTGTGTAGAAGTTGTCATGGTAGTTGCACTGTCAGTAGTAGTTGCTGAAGATGCACCAGAGTCTGTCGACATTGTCATAGTGGTGGCACTGTGTGTAGAAGATGAAGAGACAGTGGCCTCAGTAGAGGTTGTCAGGGGAGTGGTGCCACCAGAAGGCGTTGTTGAGGATGTAGTAGCCTCTGCAGTAGACGTTACAGGGCTGCTGGTTGCAGTAGGCATTGTAGAAGAGGTGCTATCTCCCGTTGAGGTTGTACCAGAGGAGGTGCTGCCAGTCTGAGCTGTTGAAGATGAACCTGATTCTGTAGAAGTAGTCATCTGGGTGGTGGTGTCAGTGGGAGTTGTAGCAGATGCAGTGGTAGCCTGTGTAGAAGTTGTCATGGTAGTTGCACTGTCAGTAGTAGTTGCTGAAGATGCACCAGAGTCTGTCGACATTGTCATAGTGGTGGCACTGTGTGTAGAAGATGAAGAGACAGTGGCCTCAGTAGAGGTTGTCAGGGGAGTGGTGCCACCAGAAGGCGTTGTTGAGGATGTAGTAGCCTCTGCAGTAGACGTTACAGGGCTGCTGGTTGCAGTAGGCATTGTAGAAGAGGTGCTATCTCCCGTTGAGGTTGTACCAGAGGAGGTGCTGCCAGTCTGAGCTGTTGAAGATGAACCTGATTCTGTAGAAGTAGTCATCTGGGTGGTGGTGTCAGTAGGATTGGTAGCGGATGCAGTGGTAGCTGGTGTAGAAGTTGTCATGGTAGTTGCACTTTCAGCAGAAGTTGCTGAAGTTGCACCAGCGTCTGCAGACGTTGTCATAGTGGTGGCACTAGGTTTAGAAGATGCTAAAGAGACAGTGGCATCAGTAGAGGTAGTCAGGGGAGTGGTGCCACCAGAAGGCGTTGTTGAGGATGTAGTAGCCTCTGCAGTAGATGTTACAGGGCTGCTGGCTGCAGTAGGCATTGTAGAAGAGGTGCCATCTCCCGTTGAGGTTGTACCAGAGGAGGTGCTGCCAGTCTGAGCTGTTGAAGGTGAATTAGGTTCTTTATATTGTGTCTTAGGGATGGTTTTCTGAGTAAGAGGTCCTGAAAATGTACTTGTGCCTGTATTGTTTTCCATCTGTGTTTTGTTGTCAGTAGGAGTTGTAGTAAGTGTACTAGTGTTTCCAATAGGTTTTGTATAGTTGGATCCATCAGCATCAGCTTTTGAAAGTATAATATCTGTTGCATTGCTGCCTGAAAAGATATTTTTCAGAGAAATTTAGGTGTCAAAGTTTGTCTGACATTAACTGGAAATATTTTTGCCGGCATATTTGTTTTTTTTTACCCTGTCTTCTAAGTTGTTTGTGTCAGGTTGAGCCTAACCTCCCTTCCACAGACTGTGGCTGGTTCCCTCCACCCTTAAAGATTCTTGGTAAGTCCCCCGCAACCAATCAGCCATGGGCTGTAAAATCTGCTTCCTATGGCAGCCTATCAAAAGTTAATCCAATTCTTTGAATGCTGAGGCTCTCTTTGCTCTGCTCCTAGAGCTGCAGTGCCTCACCTGCTTTTTGCTCTGCTGGCACTGGAGGTCCTGGAGGCCCTCCTGAGATACATACTGTCCTCTATTCCAAACAGCTCTGCCCTCACTGAAGACTGAGAGAAAGGGAAGTTAGTCTCCTGTAGCTATAACATTCTTTCCCAGGCAAGGGACCCTTCATTCTTTCAAACTTTTGTGAGTTCCCCCATCCTCTTCTGGAAGGGGCACCTGGTACCTTGACCACCTTGCTTGTTTCACAGTCTAGAAATCAGTCATCAGGACCAAGTCCACATGCAGGTGAAGCAAGAAAATTGGGAGTGGGCGATGAGGCTTCACAGGTCTTTGGGGAGGTTGGGGCAATGTCACTTGGTGCAGGTATAGGACAGAAAACTCCTGCCCAATTCAGGAGTCAGATTTCAGGGAAATAAGTGTTTACTTGTAACTAAGTCCTTCCCAATGGAATGTGAGCACAATTAATGGGTGCCAGTTCCAGGCCTGGCCCATAAAACTTCCCTCATGATCCCAATTGCTCTACCTGTTGGAGGCCAATGGTGAAGAAGCCCAAGGGAATAGGGAATTCTCAGAAAGAAGAAACGTAGATCCCTGGATCAGCACATGAAGGAAAGCTACCTGCCAACCAGGAACATCTGCCTTATGTTGTTACATGAGCAAGACAACACTTTCTATTGTGGTCAAACCATTATATATTTGGGGCATATATATTACAGCAGATACAAAAATATCCTAATATAGTGGAAGAGCTAGAACAGATACAATTACTCTCACCATCCTTAAGAGATTCAAACCTTTAGTATTAATATTTTTGTATTAAATAATCTATTCACATTAAGGATTTGTGTTATATTTTATTTGTATTACTTTATATTTGTAATGTTCAAGAGAAGTTGGTCTATAGGAATAACATGCCAACCTTGTAGTTTCAACTTAAAATACATAATTGAGTGATGGGTTTAGACTTGTCATTTTACATTAAAATCTTGTTAGGGTTGTAAATAGTATTTGAACATTTAAGAGAACTTAAGATTCACCATATATATTTAATTTATTAGGTGTGTAAATTTACTTAAGTTTTGGGGAAGTTTTAAACTATTAGATTCATGGAGCTTCTTGTATACTTGGAAAGGTTTTGTTTATTAATCAAACACTTGAAGTCGTGAAATAGAAAATATAATGTGTTCATTTTATAAATGCAACTTTGAATTGTTAAAGGAACTTAATTAGCCAAGTATGTAAATTACATTAAACACTAATAAAGATCCTTATCAAAGCTATTGGACTGACTTCACTTCAGGCCAAGATGGAGTGGTAATGGGGGATAATTTTACCCTACTGCCTAAAACAACACCCAGCCCCTAACTAACCATATAAGCATACAAAGGACATGAAACGATGATTTTCAATACACTTGATGTCAGGCAACAAAGGACAGTGGTTCCTGAGAGACAGGAAACAAATGGGGTGAGCCCTGCAATCGCCCTAGCTTACTGACTTAAGAACAGATTCCAGGCAGTAGTGCAGGGAGAGAGAACCCAGGGAGAGCCTAGCAGGTTTCCCGAGTTAAGGGGATACAGAGGAGAGTCTTAGGAGACCAGGCAGCTTGAGTTCATAGGACAGAATTACTGGAGAAGAAAGAGCTGCACAGAGAGCTCCCTGAGGATCCACAAAGGGTCCTTTGAGTATTAAGTACTGTACTGATTAGAGCTTGCTTATAAAGAAACTACTCAGGACCGCGGAAACACCACTGGAAAAGATGAGAAGGACCAGGACCAGGCGCTCACATAGGGATGGAAACAGTGCTGCTCCCACTAGCCAATCCAGAAAAACTTATTCACAGGCCACTGGGTAGAGTATTCAGGAAGGTCATTCAGTAAAGGGAAATACAGCCCTACCCTGAGATTTCTCAGGACCGACCTAGGAAATTATCTTGAGAATCAAGAGGAAGAGGAAGAAGAGGAAGGAGAGGAAAAGGGTTTGATTTTTGAATAATCAATAACTTATTATATAATTTATTTAATCAATCTCCTAGAAATGGATATTTGAGCTGTGAAATAGGCAAAATTTTGGCCCCCATTATCTCCACCCCCTGATGTTACTTCCAAGAATATGTTACATGGTAAAAAGAACTTTGTAGGTACAATTCAAGTTAAAAAACAATTAAAATGAGATTATCCTGGATCATCAGAGCAGGCCCAATGTTATCTCATGAGCCCTTAAAAGCAGGGAGGCAGGAGCAGAAGAGAAATCTGAAGCATGAGGACAGGCCATTGCTGGCTTGCAGATGAAAGGGACCTTGGGCCAAACTTGATCCTGCCAACAACCTGAGTGAGTTCAGAAGAGGATTCTTTCACAGAGCCCCCAGAAAATAACACAGGCCTGCAGATCTCTTGATTTCAGTCTGGTGAGATCGTAAGCAGAAAACCCAGCTGAACCACACCTGCGTCCCAACTTCTGGCCCATGAAACTGTAAGATTATCAAACAGTATTTTATGTGACTAAGTGCTCAGCACTTAGTCATGGCAGCAATAGAAAAACAATAGGCAGGTGCTGTCAGGTGAATATGGATATCCTTGTACACATGACTTTGTGCGGGTGTGTGCGAGTATATTCACGGGGTAAACTCCTAAACATGGAAACTTCCAGGTGAAAGAGCAGAAGCACTCAACACTGTGTTACTTCTTTCTAAATGACCTTCTGTAAAATTGTACAAGTTGCACTCCCTCCACCTCTCTGTGACAGTGCCTGTTTCTCACACCCTCAACAACCAATAGGCCTTTTGATTTAGAGCAATTATTATGGGTTGAATTGTGTCCTCTAAAAAAGATATATTTAAATCCTAATCCCCAGCACCTCAGAAAATGCCCCTATTTGGAGACTGATCTTCACAGAGGTGGTCAAGTTGAAGTCAGGTCATTAGGGTGGGCCCTAACCCAGTATGTCTGGTATCCTTAGAAAAATAGGAAATTTGGACACGGAGAGTGAAGACAGTGTGAAGACACACAGAGAGAAGACAGCCATGCGACAGAAGGGATCCCTCTGCAGGCCACAGAACCTCAAGAATGGCCGGCAAACACCAGGAAGAGGAAGCAAGGAGGGATCCAACCCAGAGCCATCAGGTGAAATGGGGCCCTGAGACTTCTGGTCTCAAGAACTGTAGGACAATAAATTTCTGTTGTTTTAAGTCACACAATTTGTGGTACTTTGTTACAGCAGCCTTAGTAAACTAATGGGTTCCAGTCATATCATGGGTAGAGGACAGTAGCGTGGATTTTAATCTCTTGTCTACACCCTCTCCTTCTTGAAAGACTGTCTTCTCTTGGCTTCTGGGTTACTGCAGTCTCTCAGTTTTCCTCCCATCCCTTGGGCCATTCCTTCTAGACCTCCTTGTGGGAGATCTGGGCTTATCCTGGGGCTCTGCCCTGAGCTTTCTGCCTACTCTCCCCTCCAGGGGGAGCTCACGGCTTTTCACACCATCCACATTCCAACGATTCCGGCGTGTCTCTAGCTCTGGCCTCCCTTCTTAACGGCAGACTTGTGATTCCTATTTTCTACTTGACATCTCCAAGTGATATTAATTAGGTACCCCAGACTTATTCAAAACAAGACCCTTGATTACTCTTCTAGTCCCCTCTCAGAAATCATCCCAGCTCCTCTGAAGGCATCCTAGGTCTCTTTCCCCCTTCACACCCCACATCTGCTCCATCCACCAGGCCTGCTGGTGCTTCCTACAGAGCATACCCTGAACACATCCACTTCTTTCCATTTCTCCTGTAAGTGCTGAGTCAGTGATGCCATCAGCTCTCACCCAGAGTATTGCCATGGCTTCCCTCCTCCTCTCCCTGCTTCCTACTCCATGCCAACAAGTCCTCCACACCCCAGCTAGGGGGATCTTTTCAATATGCACGCATCAGATTACTTCCATGCTTTAAACCCTCTGTGGCCTCTGTTATGGGTTGAATTATGTCCCTCTCCCTAGATTTGTATGGTGAAATCCTAACCCCTAGCATCACAGAAAGTGGCCTATTTGGAAATAGAGTCTTTGTGGCTGTAATTAGTTAAGATGAGGTTACACTGGAGTAGAGTGGACCCTAATCCAAAAGGACTGATGTCATATAAAAAGGGGAAGTTTGGACACAGACATGAGCACAGGGAGAACGGCATGTAAAGACAAAGGTAGGGATGGGTGATGTGCCTACAAGTCAGGGAATGCCGAGATCTCCAGCAAATCACCAGAAGCCAAGGGAGAGACCTGGAACAGATCCTTCCCTGCAACCTTCAGAAGGAGCACAGCTCTGCTGACAACTTGGTTTTGGACTTCTGGCACCCAGAATATGAGACAAAAACTTTCTTGTCCTAAGCCACCCAGGTTGTGCTAATTTATTACTGCAGCTCTAGGAAGCTATTGCACTTTCTTTCTGGTCACCTGTGGTTGCAGGGGTGACTTTGAGGGGAGAAGTTAGCGGAGATACCCAGGAAGACTCCTCAG